TTCATCGAAGGAGTTCGGGGAGACGATATGAGGTACCATCTACGTCTAGTGAGACCTCGAGACATCAGTGAGGCTCTAATTCGAGCTTTAGAGTTTGAAGCGTCTCGAGTATCGGTCCCTTCAGCACCAAGAGTAAGGCTGGCTTCAATCGACAACGAACGGGATATACTAGCTGACAAACTGGACAACATATACGACGCTTTACAGAAGATGATGGCCGGTTGTAATAGTACTCGCCCGCCAACTCAGGAATCTCCACAAAGAAGGAGCATAAGGTGCTTCAATTGCGGTAAATTGGGACATATCAGGAGTGATTGCCGCAATAGAGCACGAAGTTCGTCACCGTCGCCCAGGAAGCCCAGCGGTGACACTAACATCAGAAGGACTTTTCTTCATCTGACCAAAAGACTTTTAAGGAAAAGTTTGGTATCTCGTTATTTCTTTGAATAAACCACTGACAAAATGCCATTCTTTTAATCGCATCGCCATTCTGGAGTCCCTGGCAGGGCCGTTCACGATAGGGGTGATATTTATGACGCTTTAAAATACTATTTGCCGTTGACCGCACAACGTGGTTGTTGTGGCTTCAATTTGACGTAAAGACGTACGAGCTGTCTCAACCACGCTTTGCATTACCAAATTTTCTTTATTTTCGTCTGGAAGTTTGTTTTTCTTTACCTTAGCAAAACTCCCGTAAGCTACAAGGTTGTCTTTCAGACACCTAAACATAGTTCTACCGAGTTGTCCCCTTTCTGAATATTTATTTAAATACATTTCTTCAGCTTTCGCTTCATTTCGACGACAGAAAATAAAACACTCCAACATATCGTATTTCGCATAATTTGAAAAGTGATTCATTTTGACACACCGAAACACTTGACACTACAAATTCTACTTTGACGGTTACCTAGGTAATTAAAACAGACAACGAACGTCACTATGGGGAAATTGAAGAGAAATATCAATGCCTACTACCATAAAATCTTAATTTTGTTAATTTTAATTATTTATCTTGACCGAACATAAACATGTTATACATTACATTGTTGAAGAGCATAGTTAAAGGAGAATTTAAAAATGCAGAATTTCAATATGGCTCCCATAAGAAAAACAAAAGTTGAGTTCGGCCTCATTGAACATAGTGGGCCAAGATTATTTTTTACTTTATTTTCAAATTCACGCTCATTTCTTACCCCCACCCTGAACATTTCGTTATTTCATCTTTTATAATAAACACGATATAAAGGACTTTATAAAGCGCACTTTTTTTCTTTTTTTCCTTGTATATCCGTTGCTATTCGGAGTTCAAAGAAGTTGACAGATTAATTATAGGCACTTGGTTGCGCAACTTCTTTCCCATTTGGTCCACTCTGTATCTTTAATGGTTTCCAATATCCCCATGTACATCATTTTATACTGGTCACACTGTATAGTAACAGGCCGCAAAAGTTGATCACACCGATTACCAGAACACAGAAACGTAATTCTTTGCAACATGTAATTTCAGCTGCAGGAGGCTAAATAATTATTTTCATTGCTTGTAAATATATGTATAGGTCCATGTTTACCTGTAGAATACGAATAATTTATTTTATAAAAGTTTACAAACTGTGTATAAAGATATTTGCATAAATCGAATAAAATATATATTTTAAAAAGTCGTAAAAGATAACAGTTACAAATCGCCCAATATTAAGGTGTAAATTGTGAAATATCGCCGAAAAATCGCTTGGCGACTGTTTTAGAATGCTTTTATTTGGCTCTCAAAGTGGACTGTATTTATTTTATAATTATATTGACAACCACTGGGTGTTTTTTTACGATACATTATTTGTGCTTTTTTATAATCGAGTCTCTGCCAATTACTACTTTTTTGTTTAAAACAACAACCGTTGCTACTGGTATCTCGAGCTTACATACGATACATTTGCAAAAACATAATGCTCATTCACTCTAACTCCAGGAACGTCTCCCATTAAATAATTATTGCCAGTCTCTGGTTTTGCCTTGAGGCACGCCACACAATGTCTAACAATCCTTTTACACTTATTCCTGCTACAAATTATCCTAAATTTTTCCCTGGTTGAACATAGAAGTTGCTGAACCCCACAGTTCATCAACCTTTGATGCTCCTGACGTGAAATTAAATCTGTTAAAATATGATCTTTTGGTAAGAGTATAGAGTGTAGATAAGTTCTATATTGTTGAGGCGGATTCATTTTTTACAAACTTCTTTTTGGGTATTTCGCCTCAAAAATTCCGTTCCTGTTGATAAAACTTTAAATATCATCAAAAAAAATTACCAAATGACACCAATCTTAAAGAACGCTCACAACTAAGCATTAACACCATTATTGAACTTTTAACAATATGTGTAAAGTCAACTTACTTTTAATACAATGACAATTTCTATCAACAAAATTTTGGAATCGCTATGGGGTCACCACTATCCCCATTTTTTAGTAATTTATTTATGGAAAATTTTGAATCAACTTTCATTAATAATTACAAATTTCAACCAATAATTTGGTGGCGTTACATTGATGACGTATTCCCCATTTACAGTCATGGCGAACAAAAACTTGATGAATTTTTATCTTATCTGAATAATAAAGAACCAACAATTAAATTCACTATTGAAAAACAACAA